TCCACATGTCTAGTCCCACACTCTCCCTCATATTATAAACTGTAACTCCAACACTGCAGAGGCTGGGTTCTACTTGATCAAGTTCTGTATTTCAACTACTTCCCACCAGACTCACAGCTACTTTGGTCTAAACTAATAATCTGTCTTGCCTTACAGTGGCCATCCTGTCCCCACCATCATCCTCTCATAACCTATATATTTTCAACCCAGTGTCCAGAATCATCAGGCTGGTGCCCATCTATAACCTCAACACTCAGGGGATTGAGGCAGGACGACAAGGGTTCAAGGTTGGCCTAAGCTACATAGTGAGAGCCTTTCTAGAAAGAAAGGAAAGAAAAAACCCAAACATCAGAGCATGTCAATCCCTTTATCAAAATTATTCTAGTTATTTCCTGTTTCTCTCAAATTAACCTCCAAGTCTTTGGTTTTACATGATTTGGTTTTGGCTATACTGGCGACTCAGAACACAATCTATTTTTTTTTTGTTCAGATACTGCTTTCTCAGTTACTCTGGACTTATTTCTTAGTCCCCTTGTTTTCTTTTCTCTAGCACTCACCACATCACACACACTGCATTTTTACTTAGCTGTTTCTTTCCAGTACAACATAACCACTGTGGCAGTAATAACACCTCTGCTCTGCTTACTGCTCTATCCATGACAGAAGACAGTTCCTGGCACATAAGAATTCAATTTGCATTACTGAATAGGTGATAAGCAGACTTAAATAACATTTCATTATGTAACTACAAGATGGACTGCAAGTGGAATAAGGTGGAGTCTAATTTTTAAAGATATATGTTATATAACCAAGCAATGGCGGTACATGCCTTTAATTCCAGCACTTGGGAGGCAGAGGCAGGATCTCTATGAGTTCGAGGCCAGCCTACTCTATAAAGCTGCACAGAGAAACCCTGTCTCAAAAAACAAAACAAAATAAAAACAATAACAAAAGAAGTATATTATAGAATACATTAGTAGAAATGAATATATAAGAAAAAATTGATAATATAGAAGAAAAGAGGAAATATGCATGAACTATGACATTAAACAGACCACAGGAGGAGTGGGCTTAGGCTGGAGCAAAGACAGTCCATCCACAAACCCAGCAGAAACACAAAGGAGGACTACTGTGACAGGTGCAGCCGGGGTGGGGGGAGCTGATATAATTTCTGTTTTTCATCTCATCTGATTTCCTTTCTGCATTAAGATATATGAAGAGAGGCTTTAGAGATAGGAGATGCTCAGAAGAAAATGTGAAACGATACTCCAAAATCAAAGAGGGAATGTGTCAGGGAAGACCAGAATTGTCAGGCTCACTGACAATTGTCATGAACTCATGTAGAAGCAGTTATCACACTGAAGATGGCTCGAGCATGTTCAGGTACATGGGCAGGACGGTGCAGAGCTGCATGCCAGTAGGACTGGTGAATTGTGGTAAACATAAAGCAGTATGGGGGATGGACAAGAGTGCTGATGTGGTCTGTAACAAAGGGATGAGAACCAGAGAGCGTGAGGCTGAGGGGAGATGAGATGTGAGAGTGTAGTGATGAATGTAGGGTGGGCGCAGTCAGACACACTCTGAAAATGTCCACATAAGGAAACTAGCCACTTCGGTGAGTTTGAAGACTTGGGCATATACCATGCTTACAGAGAGTTATTGGTCAGATAGAAAGCTGAAAACCTTGATGATGAAGGCTCTGCTCCTGGAGTAGCTGGCTGAGGTGTAGGGAAGGTAAACTTGTTGGGCTTGGGGTCTGGAATTTCAAGTTCAGGTTGTTAGAAGGTCACTTATGTGAACTCTGAAAACAGCAGTGAGGAATCCCAACACAGCACAGAGAAGAAAGCAATGCAAAGATGCCAATGCAGTTTGGGCCTGTGAGAAGAACTTAGGGTCCTACAGTTATGACAAAAGGGAGATCAAAGTGTAGATATATGGTGTAGCCTCTAGAAGGAGTAGACAATTATTTGGAAGACATGGGAAATGACCTGGAACAGTGATAAATAGGGTGTAAAGATGCTTTACTCAACTGCAAGGCTCCATGGCAGGAAAAGGTTGCAGCAGAAATATGAGTCAAGGGACAGGTTTCCGTTGCAGCAAGACAGTGAAGGGGATATTCTGCTGTAAGTAATTCAGGGGACTAAGATTTCACTAGAAAATCATATTCCTTAGCAACTGTGTTGGAATACCAAGCAACTTCCATCTTTAAAATATGCTAAGGTAATTTCCATGGTTCTTATTAGTTCATTGGGCGCTTTAACATTCCACAAGCTGGGCAGCTTAAACCGAAAGAAATACTACTTCATTGCTCTGGAGGCTGTGGGTCTGAAATCACATGCAACCATATTTACTCAAAACGTGGCTAGGAATATCCTGTTGTGTCTTCTACTTCCCAAAGACGGCCAGCAGTGCTTGGTGTGCCTTTGGTTGGTAGAATACTGTAATCTCTGCCTCCACTGTCACACGGGGTTCACTCTGTGAAACTTTGTCTCTCTCTCTCTTTTTTTTTTTTTTTTTTTTTTTAATGAGGACACTAATCACATTGGTTAAACCTTAAAGGGCCTACCCTCTTCCAATACGGCCTTATTTGAACTAATTCCATTTGCAATGACTGTTTTCAAATAAGGCCACTTTTGGGTGTGTTGGAGGCTAGGACTTTAACAAATCATCCTGAGAGCAACAACTCAGCCCCTAATACAGGCGGATAAAAAGAATATATAGCTTTTCTGGAATGTGTTTGTATTTCAAATCTCTCAATTCATTGTCCAGCTCAGTAAATAAGACTTGGAACCCAAGTGTTTTACAAATTCTCATTACAAAATGTATGATAACCCAAGCAGACAAAGGGAACATGTGCCATGAACTTGAGCTAGAAGTCAAGTGACACAGAGGCAGCTACTGATGTGGGATGATGTCCTCAACCAACAGGGAGAGCCCGCTGCTCTGAAGGGAAGCATGAGCTTCACTATACTGAGAGTCTCCCATGTTAAGTTATCAAAACAACTTAAGTTCACAGGCTCGCAGTTCTGATTGGAGGAAAGCTGATGTTAAAACACTCATCAGTGAAAAAAATGTCTTGTTATGACATGCAGATGGAGGGGGATGTCTCTTTTGTGTTTTTAATCAAAATAGGACACCACTCATTCCTAGTTGTGGCTGGAACTCTATCCACACACTGTGTGCATGTGTGTGAATGTGCACTGTGGAGGCTGAAGGTCAACCCCAGAGTCATTTGTGCTCTACCATTTTTGCTTTGAGACAGGGTCTTTTATTGTCCCTGGTTTGATCAGGTTGGTTGGCCAGTGAGACTTAGGATGTGCCCTCTGGGCACTGGGATTACAAGCATGTGTCTTCACATCATGTTTTTTACATGTTCTAGGGCTCAGACTCAGGTCCTCATGCTTGCATGGCAAGCACTTTATCATTGACATCACCCCCCCCCACCCCATCCCCAGCTCTTCTCCACTAAGTCACAGGAATAAGATAATGTATAAGACCTAGGCTAGGCAGCCTATTACTGTACATGTGCTAGGTGCTGGGTGCTATACCTGCTCTATGACTCTTAGACTAGGCTGCATTTTCTATCTGCAGAGGGCTCTGGTAAGTTACTCTTGCCAAATCTTGGCCCCAAACACTAATGGATAATTGCAGTTCTTCACATCTAACATGCAGGAAGGCACGCAGCAAGTTGTTTCTTCTGAAGGAATGCAAATGCAAGTGACTCACTGCCCATCCTGATGTGCAGGAGCCCAAATGCACGAGGTTTGTTCTGTAAGGGAAGTAATCTGACTGGATTCTTCTGACCTTGGCAGAGTGCAGCTGGCATTACAGAAGGCAAGGTGAGGCTGTGGCTTATTACTTGAAGGTAATAGCTTTCATGAAAGATGCAGAACCCAACTGTTTGGTAGTATATCTAGCCTTTTCTCCTTCCTACACAGCTGGTAAGGAATAAAGTCCCTCACTCTATTACTCTAATTGAATTCCAACTTGGGTAATTATACTATAATTAAATAAATTTTCCCCATAGTTTTAATTCACTGACAAATAGTGCTAGTCAAACGGCTTCATTTCATTTCCAGACACACATCCCACTACATTTCCTTGATAAGTGGAGTGATTGATATTTGGAAGATGTGTGTGTGTGGAAAAACTGCACAGTTCATAAAATATTTTAGGTATCATTTATGATTACATATGCTTGGCTCAGCATGAGATAACATTAATTTCTATTATAATCTTTCATCTAATTTTTCATACGCTCAGTGCCAAAGGAAATGATACCGTTAATTAGCATTTCTTGTTTGCAGAACAACTTTTGTTGAGTTACCCTGTATCTACTTGTAGTTCTGACCTTTTCCCCCTTATGGGACATGTTGTTGACCCTGAGAGGTGGACTGCATTAGAAGTTTCTGCTAATCTGTAGTTTCCCATTTTACAAGTGGGACTGCTGTGGTAGTACTCCCAGGATTAGGGGGAGAGTTGCAGTAAATGCCAGCTTAGGGATCTCAGCTGCCTCAGATCTCCTAGCTCGAGATTCTTTTACTCAAAAACCATCCAACACTAGCTCACTATTAATCACTTAGCTTTACTAAGGAAAAAATGGTGAGTAGTACATGTGTGATCCACGCCATAGGTCACTGGTCCATGATAATTAATGATTTATCCAGAAGCTGGAAGCTTCATCACTAGGAGCTCATGCTATCCCTGGACTGCAAGGCTGTGGGATTTTCTGTTGTCTCAGGGTGAATACACTGGGCTCTGCTGGGAGTAGGGCTCCAATGCATCTCCAAGCTGTACAAAAGAACCCAGATTTTGGTGTTATTCTAATGGCTGACCTTAAAGGTTTAAAGAAGGCCCTTTTCCCTCATGGTGTGAGGATGCAAATGCAGGGGCCTTGAGCACCAGGAAGGCAACACCACTGAGCCACATCTGTAGCCTGGGAGATGGTGTTTAATAAAGTATATAAAAAAATATATGAAAGGCAATATCAAAATACTCACAAAAAGCAGCAATAGCAGCGGTGTTACAACGATGCCCTGTAAGAAATAGAAGAGATAATGATCATTTGTTGGTCTAGAAAGCATACTTCTTTCTCCCATTTTGGGAGAAATGCTAGTCATCTTCCTCCTGTGTAACAAACTGAGGAGAAAGACGGCTCTCCCACCATCACATCAATGTCACCTTAGTGATTATTCATATAAAGAACATTAAAGTCACAACCACCCAATGCTCCTTAACCCGCCTTTCCTCCATTTAAACCTAAATTCCCTTCCCTGCTGCAGTGTCCCACATGGGTGGGACCTGGTAGTTGACAAGTGCTTTCATTCAGTGCCTTCCACTGTAGGTTGGGTAAAGTGCCCCCTTTTGAGGGAAGACAGGTGGTTTAGCCCCAGTTGGGGTCCTCTCCTGAGCAAAGACCATGTCGGCTGTGATGAATGAGATGTCGCAATTCTGTAATGTGAACTGATCTCCCCTAGGAAATGAGCTGCGATCTCAAAACTCATTTCACTTGATTAGACTCTGTGTCTCCATGGCGGAAGGGAGGTCTTTCATCTAATTCAGCCACACAGGACCACCTCATCCCTCTGCCTCCCCCAGGCAGAAATGAGCAAAAGATTTGTTTTCTTCGATGACAGGGAACAGTTTGAGGCTGTTGTCAATGAGGCAGGATACAAGCTTTGGCTTTCTTTAAAAGTGTGCATTTGAGTTGGGAGTCAACATGACAGGTTTCCCTTGAGAGCAGCAGATGATGATCAGCTTAGTTCTTCCTTCATTTCTCAGAGCATCATCGTCATTTACACAAGAAAAGCATCTCATATTTTTATTAATGCACTCTGTTTGAAACTTTGAAGTTTTAGAGTCTGAATGTGTGTGTGCATGTGCGAGAGACAGAGAGACCTAGGGCTGTCTTTTTCACCCATAAACAGTCCTTTTAATACTTAGGAGGATATGGCATAAGACACTTATACCATGTGAACAATTATTTTTATACAGACTTGTTTTACTCTTAAATAATAGAATGAATATTGTTTATTATGCAAACTAACCAAGTGGCAACAGGGAGCAGGGCAATTTAATCTAAGAGTTATACTTTTAAATCTCTTCATTATAGCATATATTGTGGCTTATGAATTCCATGAGCTTCTTATGAAGCATATTTTGGAGGGCTAGATCTGTCAAGCCAAAATAATTTTAACTTTGAAGGGCTACTGCCTTGGGCTGAGGGTAGGTCTCTGAGTTTGATCCCCAGCACTTTAATAGTAATACCATAATAATATAAAGAAAAGATTACTGTACTTCATGCTTATATTACATTTACTTTGTGTGTGCATGTGTACACACCTCCTACAAGGTCAGAGGATAGCTCATAGAAGCCCACTGTCTCCTACAATGTAGGTCCTGGGGATCAAATTCGGGCCATAAGGTTTTGGCAGCAAGTGCCTTTACTGGCTAAACCATCCCACAGGCCTGAAAAGCTGCTTCTGTCTTTAGTAATTTGGAATATATTTAGAATCTGGGTAGAATTCCAAGCTTCACAAAATACTATAAAAGTGAAAACTATGCAGCTGTTGAGGCACTCAACTTCATGAAAAGTTTTAGAAATGTTTACCAAACATCCACTACAATGACAGCTCTGTGGTCCTTCAGAGCTGATTGAGGGTGAATCCAACATGGCACCTATATCTTAATAGCTAATATAGCTTAGTAGCGCACGTTGGTCTAGGGATAAGTGCTGTACAGAGTGAGCTGTAAAGCTAAATATTCTGATGCAGGAGATGTAGTATGAAAGAGGTGGGTAACTATTTCTCTTTGGGAGATTTTATGATGAAATGGATACTAATGTTGGAGAATTAATGCAAAGTGATCTGGTAGAAGAAAGGGCTAGCCCAGGAAGGGAGAGGCACCCTAAAGCCATGAGAAGTTGAGCAGAAAATTACTGAAGCGTGTGAAGCAGAGCAGGCAGAGACCCATTCGGCAAGGCCTCAGAGGCCCGCTGGTCTCTGAGCAACAGCAAGCTATCCAGGTATAAGGAGCTAATAGTTCAGTACATGGAATGTGGATTTGAATTGGCTTATAACCTAGTGTTTACCTTTGTCCATTAATACACCTAAACAAAATAGGACAGAGACTTGCATTATGTGAATTATGTTTTGTTGCTAGCAGCACTGCTGAGAAACAAAAATGCCATCTGTAATGAGACAAGAAATGTTTTTGTAGGAGAAAGGTTGAGTCACTCTGGTGATACCTGTCTTGTACTAGAGTTGTTTTTCCTGACGGCCATTTCATTTTTCTTTATAATAACCAGATGACAATAGGCTTAGTAAGAACATAAGTCCTGTCAATACTATTTTGCTTCAATACATTCACATATGTTTTAAAGTGTGACCTTCCCCTACTGAAGGGGTTAAGTTTCTCTACATGGGGAAAGAAGAGTTCTGAAAAGCCAAACAACTCAACTCAAGGTCACATAGCAAAGATGGCAGAAGTTGGGTATGAGCAAGCATCATCCAATTCTAAATTCACTGGTCCCCTGAAAGCAGATCCCAACCAGCAACATCACTTTCTGCAAAACCCCACCCATAAAACATGTGTAGCCATATAAACTTTTCCCTAGCTGATGAGTGCCTTCTCAGAGACAATCTCATTCTGGAAAGCTATCTGCAGGCTTCTCGGTGTAGAAACTTCAAATATGCAGTAACCTACACAATGATTTCTTTGCTGTTCTAACAAGGACTAACATTTAGTCTTGAGATAGGCTGGATAGAATGCACCTTGTACGTACTTGCAGTTTAATTATTCCTCATTAGTTTTCAATAAGGGCAGTTCAAGTTTATTAACTAAACTGGATTGATTATTCAACAATGCTGAACACTCTTTTTCAGTTATATTAGGAACTGAGTGGTCTTAATGCCATCGGCTGTGATATAAGCACTATTAAGTTTGAGTGAAGTCATCATATTATTACTAAAAGTTTAACAGCCCATATTTATTAAGTACTCATTTCAAATATTGTGCTAAGAACTTTATCTCTACTATTTTATGAAATTCTCACAACCACCCTATAAGCTCTGCACTATAATATCCTTATATACAAGGTAAGGAGCTGAACCTGGGACAGAGGAATGCTTGGAGGACATCTGTGTCCGTAACTTCAGAGCCCAAACTTTTGAAGGATGATTGTACAGTCTTCAGGGGCCCGAAAGATGGCTGGAGTGTTTGCTCTTTGATGATGCAGGCTCATGGCTTGAGTTCAATGGCTGGAACCCATAAAAAGTAGAAGGAGACAACCAACTCCAAGCCACCCTAGCAATTATAAATTAAATTAAAAAGTAAAACCTTTATAATAAATATTAAGCTATTTCTTTGGAGTTCTATTTTAAGGGTTAAATCAGAAAGGGGCTTAAACTCAATGAGTCTTTTGTTGACATGAACTAAAACATAAAGTGTGCTACTGTATGACTGGCTAATACACTCCTTTAAAGCTCAGGTTTTGCAAATATCAGAAGTAACAAGGGCGGGGGAGAGCGTGCACTCAAAATATGGTAACAAGAACACTAAAAGCTAGAAAGTCAAACATGGATTTACAAGTCTCGATTTAATTTTGTCTCCTTTCTCTTTCCTAAGGAACTCCTGTACAATGGAAAGCCACAGCAGTTCCAGCAGAAGACACTGCCCCTTTTGAAGGGTCAGGGTAATGTCAGTCTCTTGCAGCTGTCTTGTAATGTTTGCTGTCTCCTGGAAAACTTCCCGAACACCCACTCACACCCTTGACATGAGTCACAATGCTAACATATGCTAATGACCACATGGAAAGGGAAGAGAGCATCAAGTCTGCTGATGCCATCCCACCACCTGCAAATAAACAAGGAAGCTGGGTAACAGCAAGGGAACTGGAGTATGCCTCTCTCAGCAATGGGATCCATAAAGAACAACACTGAAGAAAACTCTCATCCCATCTTTAACAGAAAACCTCATGAAGAGGTTTTGCTGCAACAGCTACAGTTACTGATGTCTGAGGCCATCCCTAGTCCTCCACTGCATAACTTGATTGCACAGAATGACAGGAGGTCGTCAGATTTGCAAAAGACCACTTGAGCTGCGTGGCTGTGTCTTGACCAAGGAACCCCCTGCCTCACCCCTGGTGTGTGTGTGTGTGTGTGTGTGTGTGTGTGTGTGTGTGTGTGTGTGTGTGTTTGTGTTGAGACATGGTTTCTCTGTGCAGCCTTGGCTATCCTGGAACTTGCTTTGTAGACTAGGCTGGCCTCAAACTCACAGAGATCCACCTGCCTCTGCCTCCCAAGTGCCAAGGCAGGAAACATTTTCTTAAACTAACACCAAACCATCAACATAGCTGTCTATCTCCCCTTGCAGCAATCCAGGGGAAGGTCCTTTAACTGACCCATGCATGGTGTAAAAAAACACCTGGCCTCCTTAGCTTTTTCCTCTGGCGATACTTCAGATTTAATGCTGCTGGTAGCATTAAGTCTCCCCTAGTGTCAAAGTCCTTGGCTCCTACTACTCTTCCTCATAGGCCCATTCTGAACCTTCTTCTAAATGTCCTCTCACCAAGATGCATTCAGAGATGGATGGACTGCATAACAGAAATGCCCTGAGGGTTGGACAGATGGTTCAGAGGTTAAGAGCACTGGCTGCTCTTCCAGAGGTCTCGAGTTCAATTTTCAGCAACCACATGGTGGCTCACAACCATCTGTAATGAGATTTGGTGTCCTCTTCTGGCAAGTAGGCATACATGCAGGCAGCATGCTGTATACATACTAAATAAATAAATCTTTTTTTTTTTTTTTTAATCCTGATTTGTAGAAATGAGATAGGAAGGGAGCACCCGTGTTTGTAGTGTGAAGCTGGAACACAATGGCCAACCCAACCCAAGGATTCCATAGCTACCTGGACAGATAGCTAGGAAAAGTTCACCCTTCAGGAACAAGATTATGGCAAGACACTTTGTGGTTCTAGCCAACAAATTTAAAGCCTTATGTTAAAAAACGGCAGCGTGGACAGTTCTTAAGGCACCTAA